CGTACCTCCACTCTTTCCTATCCTGAGCTAAACTTCGCATTTCCCTAAAACTAGAACAGCCCACATCCTTAACTATTTGCGAAGAGTAATCTAATCTAGGTCTACCTCTACCCCTCCTAACTCCTGTTTCTGCCTCTAATATGTCTCTGGCTAGACCTTCATGCCTGAGAAGGTGTCCTTCCAACCTATCTCGCCTATTTTTTATTGACTTCCGTAGAGTCCTCCGTTCTCCTATTCTTTCCAATACCTCGATCGCTTATTATTCGTTAATAAGTTAATAAACAATCTTTCTAAAATTTCGAGAAGCACTTTCATAGAAATATTGTTATAAGCAACAATTCCTGAAAATTTCAAATTTCTGTTTGTTTTTGTTCTCGATATATTTAATGCAAAAAAATTCTTATAATTTGAACACGATTTTTTTAATTTTTTAGACAATTCTATGGGAAATAAAAAATGCAGAGCACATATGACGAAAAATACACTAGAAATATTTCACAAAAAGTAGAAAAAAATTATTTTTTTACTTCAACATCTTATACTGTGAATATAAAATTCAAAATCAGCGTACTGTTTTACAATTCAAAAAAAAAAAAAATGCGTAGTAACGGCGACGTTCATTTTCTAAAGATAAAGAGCCTCTTTGACTGAGCTACNTTTACTTCAACATCTTATACTGTGAATATAAAATTCAAAATCAGCGTACTGTTTTACTATTCTACAAAAAAAAAATGCGTAGTAACGGCGACGTTCATTTTCTAAAGATAAAGAGCCTCTTTGACTGAGCTACTATATTATTACCACCTCTGAAATGGATTGCAATCATACAGGTAAGGCAAGGAGTTCACTGAACATAAAAATTGTAAATTTCTCTGTCGGCAACAGGGTTTGGCGAACGCATGAAATATAAATTATTTTTTCAACCACGTCTATCAGGAAATATCACACTCTTCCTTGAAAACTAAGTTAGATTACTGTTCGCAAATAGTTAAGGATATGAGTTGTTCTAGTTTTAGGGAAATGCGAAGTTTAGCTCAGGATAGGAAAGAGTGGAGGTACGTGTCCAACCAGTTTTAGGACTGACGACTTTATGATAATGATTTCATTATTTACACGGAAAGGTGGTTGAAAGAATTTGTATGAATTTCTCTACACCGCGATTTATATTTCTGAATATGACGCTGCCCTTTTGCTGACTGCATGCAATAGAATATTCCTCCGTTTATAAAAAAAAACAACGTAGAAAAATGGCAATTGTCAAAGCATCTATAAAGATCTTGATATCATTGTCAGTATATAGATATGAGCTGTTTATTAAGAAAAATAGTTAGAGTTGATAAAAACACATTACTGTTTTCCATATAAACATTTTATCCCCCAATTAACGAAGTAAGTAAATTAACTTGAATTAGAAATGACAGGTGTCTATATGGAGGATGTTAAATTGGTCTTTGGAGTATTGCGGTTATTATTAATAAGGATAACATTATACGCCTTCCTTATACAGTAAATCATGAACAAATGTTGTGGTTTTAGGTCTACAACGGCACCGTTTTTATTATCTTACCGGGGGTGGCAATAATTCAAGGATTTTATGATGTAAGCATTAAATTTAATGCCTACCACAACAGAAAACACACGACTATACGCGTAGAATATACACCAACGCAATAAATATGTACAGATGCCAACATATGTTTTGATTTTTCTAAGAAATACGTACACAGGGTGTTTCTAAAACTCAAAACCAAATATTTTGCACAAAATTTGCAAAGTTTAAATATTCTTATTAAGGCAATACAAGAATAGCAATAACAAACCAGAAATAATATATAAAAACTCGTATTAAATAAAATAAAGAATCTGAAAATAAAACCACAAATAACTACTCAAAATTTTATTCGTTTGGATGTTTTTAGTTTTATTCGTACTATTATTATTTGTTTTCGGACTTTTTGGCCGTTGTCTTTGGAAATTATTTTACGATGTTTCGCTTACAACTGCGGCAGGCATTTTCAAGGGTTTAGCACATTGCTCACACTATAATTATCTAATAAAGATGGTGTGAGTTTGGTTAGTTCTTACCCATTATATTAAATTTGTCAAAATTAACCAAATTTGTGTTAACGTTTACAAGTTCTTCCCCTTATCATATATACCACTGTGAACTCGAAACTGTTAGCACCATTGCTTCGAGTGATGAAAATTCACTTTTGTGAACGATTTGTTTAATCACTTTCTTTGTGTTAAAAATTGTTTGAAAAACGTTTGCACGCATTGACATCAGTGACAGCAATCGTTAGAGAGCAAGAGTTGGATTTTGCCCTGTGCTGAAAGCACTCATAATTTTTTTTATATATATGTTAGCCGAGGGTGGAATTTATGTTGGCGAAGGGTGGAATTTCCGTTTTCATAACCTGATTACAGAAAGGTCATCTGGAAACGCACGCATAGACGCAAGAAACATTTGCGCAACACGCACTTATCCTGCACCCTGCAGGGGCAATATGGGATAGCCAGTCGTAGAAGGACGGATGTAAAACTTGTATATGCTGAGTGTAAACGGAGTAGAAATAAATTATTAAAATTGAGTGTTGTTATTAGTTAATAGTTAGTGGTCTTAAAATCAACAACAATAGTATCTTTACATACATATCATGTTAGTGATTTATTGAAGTCTGCAGTCCATGGAACTTTGCTTTTCCAAGTGTTCTAATCTTGCAGGATGACTGTATCATCAGTGATGACTCGAGTATAGTCGACAATGAGTCGCGACGGATGTTCAAATTCGAGCTGCGAAAAAATATAAGCACTTCATCACAGGTTTATTAAAGTCAACAATTTTCTTAACATAAGAGGCCCATTTTCAGTGACAAATAATAAAAATTCATAGTCTCTTGACTGTTTCTCATCTCTGTATTNATGTAATACTACTTTGCACTGTGCTTTTCTTTTATATATAATATTAGTAGTATTTTTATTTTAATAATTTCAAGAAAATTTTCAAAAGGAATCATCGCAGTTGCGTGCAGTAGATAAAGAGTTGAGAAATTAGGGTCTATGGCATGCTTATGTAAAGGGTCATTATCAGCAAAATAAACGAATGAAAACGTGCTAAAAGCAGAACTCGAGAAACCACGGTGTTTCTAGAATCGCCTGCAATCTTACTCAAAAGGAGTATTAAAATAGAAAGGAAACGACGATACTATATCAAGGTGTCTTAAAACCATTTCGTATTAAAGGTCCTGGAATATAAAGCAAAGATTATGAAGAAGAATGGCAAAACCTTGAAAGGAACAATCAATAGGATTAATTACAACAATCAAACCTTTCTTACAAGATCTACGTGATACTTGCTACTTAGTATACGAATTATGTTTTATAAACAGCGTATTATAGTGAAGATTTTTTCTCACTCACAAATATCAGCACCCAACCCCAATTATTATCCCTACAAATGTGGAACAATGCTCAGTCTCTTTAAATAAAAAATGGTCAAACTTCTAAAAAAGACCAAATGAAGATTTTCCACCTATGGTTTTTCTTTATGTTGATCTTATAAATAATTTATTAAATCTGGACGGCTATAAAATTTACAGGTGGTCAAATAACAATTTTTCTCAAATATCTCGAAAATTATCGGTTTTATGTTAATTCTGTTTATAATAAATTTTGTTTATGAGATAAATCTGCATAAAATAAGTCGTACACAAAAATCTGCAACCAACTTTTCTGCATCCACAATTGATACGACAACCTTTTATGCAATTTAAGGTATATTACCAGGCATAATTTACACATAGATTAGGTTAGGTTAGGTATAAGAAAAATATTGTTTTTTCGTACCCTTTTGTAGCCACCATTTGACTTTCTGGATTTTTGATATGTTATTATTTGTGTGACCAAAATAAAGCGAATCCCGCTGGATTCAGTTGATTTTTTTAGAAGTATAGGTACAAAGTGACTGGACTAACATGGATTAAACATTACTTTCCAATATACGTGATACAGCGATGTATTATGTAGAAGAGGGTCTTCCCAACTTCAGCTCCAAATGATTGAAATTGGAATTCAAAGCTGTGTTTGTCGTATAGGATCATTCGAAATTCAAGTACAATCAATTTTAGCATGTTAAAATCTACACCAAAGTATTGTAAATCCAGTTTCATTTATTTTTATATTAATTAATAGGTATCCTTGTTTTGTTAATAAAAACAGAGGCGAACCCTTTTGCCTCTATTTATATAGTTTGCAAGTTTTCCGATCATTTTCTGGTGGATTTCTCCTATCAAAGGATGTTACTGTATTTAATCGGAAATATCGTATTCAGAAGTATAAAGACGATTATAAATGAGCATTTAATGTCCGTTTCGTGTATAGGAAACATGCAGGAAAAAGAATTATAAAGGGGCCATTTCGCCAGGGACTCTCTCTGCTTCACTCACTTCTAAAGTTCGCTGCGTCTAGTTATCGAATAAAAAGCGCACAACGGGGATGACGGCCGGGATTTCAAGGCTAATCCAGCAAAAAGCACAAGCTTGTAGGTAGTAGGTACATATGTATGTATGTATGTACATGTTATATGTAGAGCAAATATATAAGCAAAAGCTTGTACAACAACTTACCCCTATATGCTGTCCGTCGACGAACACCTGTGGCACCAGGATGTGGTCACAGCGCATGCGGTCTCTTACCTCGGTCTGGTACTCGTTGCTCATGAACACGTCTCGCTCCTCGAATTTGACAAGGAGCGTCCGCAGGATTTTCTTAACCTTCGTGCAGTTGTTGTACGTCTCTCGAACAATTCCCATCGTCGTCGTATAAACCACAACTTTGCCTGCATCTTTCTCCTTGTAACTCTAAAAAATTAAAAAAAGACAATCAAAAGACGAGTTCTGAATGTGATTATGAGCCGTCTTTAAGAAAAAAAAAGGTGTGTGGTGTCTTGGGACACCCGGTAGGAACGAACGCTATTATAAATTTAGGCAAGATAGTTTGTAAAAAAATTGATAAATATCTAACATATGTATTCCGTAAGCACTATCTGCTCAGAATATTTTGAAATGCTAATTTTATTTTTTTTATCTGTTGCTACTAACAGGTTAGCTAAAATGTCTACTATTGGATATATTCACCAAATGGCAGACTAATAGAATCAGCTCTTTCGCTCTCTCTCTTTTTCTCTCTTTCTCTGCAAGCAGTAAATAAGGGAGACAGAGATGTTCACTAACACTTTAAGTTCTTAACCAGAGTTATCAGACAGAAAAATTTCATTAGGCCTAGAAAATTTAGAAATAGCTTATCAGAAAGGAGATTTTTATTTAATTTATAATGTAATTCAATTTTTGTACCAATGGAATTATTATTGTTTAAATATTACTTACAGTTTGAAAATTTATTTAAATACTGGAATACGTGAATTTTTTATACCATATGAAATTTTATTTTTGTTTAAACATCCCCTTTTTGCAATATTATCTGATAGCGCTGATTTTTACTAGTTAGACGTAAGGCGCGATAAAGAATTCCAACAAATAGATATTGTCTCTCCGAAAAAAAAAAACGTTTTATTTTGCTAGCAGCATACCGATAAAATACATAATCGTTACTATTAAATAGATTATAATTATTTCAGTCAAAAGAAAATAAAATTGAAAGGTCGTTCTGGTCATTTGTCAAGATGTGAAAGACCTTTAAAAATCTTTTTGTCTCTGTCTGTACCAGCTACTCGTAGAAATGGCTAAATTTCTATATTTCTTTATAAGCGTAAAGAGAATTTGCTTTATACGCTCATGTGATTTTTATGGGACATAATTTTACTTTTTTTTTAACAGAATATTTCAGCGAATTGTTGTCACGACCCGACTAGAAATCCTTGGTTTTAGCAAAACAACGTATACAATCATTATCATAAGGTCGTCAGGTCTAAGACTGGTTGGACACGCATCTCCACTCCTTCCTATCCTGAGCTAATCTTCGCATTTCCCTAAAATTAGAACATCGTACATCCTTAACTATTTGCGAACAATAATCTAATCTAGGCGTACCTCTACTCTCCTTAACTCCTGTTTCTGCTTCTAATATGTCTCTGACTAGACCTTCATAACTGTGAAGGTATCCTACCAACCTATCTCGCCTATTTTGTATTGACTTCTATAGAGTCCTCCGTTCTCCTATTCTTTCTTATACCTCTTCGTTTCTAACCTTCTCTATCCACGATTACATCATTCGCCTGTAACACCACATTTCCAACGATTCTAACCTTTCCTTTTCCACCGGGCCCGCCATCCACGATTCGCACCCGTACAGCGCCGCGCTCCAAACATACACCTTTAATAATCTTTTTCGAATCTCTAAATTAACCGTTCGTGAGCATAGAAGTAACTTCTTGGTGACTCAACCCTGCGTTATCTTCTACTTGATATCTCTACTACTCCTTTCGTCCTGACTTATCTGACTTCCTAGATACCTAAAATCAGCCACTTCTTCAAAACTTTCGTCTCCTATATTTATATTTGCTCTTTCCCTACTTTTCCTTCACTTGCATGCCAGTATTTTTGTTTTACTTTTACTTATTTTAATACATTTTAGTTAAAGCTATGTCTAACTCCTCCTCGCTAGATACTAATGCTGCTATACTTATACAATAAGCATAATTTAATAATACCTAATCGTAATGTTTCAACAGCTAATATGAATCATAATACTTTTAAACTTTTTTTTATTTTAACTTTTATATACTCATTAATTAAGGATTGCAAATTTTAAAATGAAACAACGCATTTGAATAATCTGATCCGTGCTTAAGAAATGTATTTAAAGCACCTGGATAAGACAGTTATGATATCTTGAAACCACAATTAACTTACTTCCACGTACCTTTTTTTTATTTCACGCTAAATGAATGCTGGGAATGCTATCCACGGTCAATTTTAATCAAATTCAATCAGCATCTTTCGCAGCAGAAGTGCTTACATAATGCGTTCTCATCTCATAATTAAGAGGATTAGGTAATACCTCGCTATTTAATATCGAGTGATGGATGAGTTTGAGAATGTTACTTTGGATGTTCATCCATCAATTTAAGATGACTGTTCTCATGTCAAAAGCCTTTTTAATAGAACTGGAAACAAGGTCACGGACGAATTTCAGCGAAATTTAAACGTAATAGTTCTCATTAGTTGCAGCAAGGGCAATTTAAATAAAGGGACAATTAATAGTGGAGGAGATAAGACAGTTAATTTTTCTTTAAGGAGATTGAAAAGGAAAGGTGATTAAGTACATTCAAAAGAATAAAAAACATTCATAAATCTAAGCTTTCTAGTTCTAAGACCCTTGAAGAAAAGTGTTTCTTAAGATTAATTTTAAGATATCATGTAATTAATTCAAACTTTGATATCCACAGTGAAATAATACTAATATTTTACGCCTAATATTAGTAAATTTCTAAATGTCTTTTTGTCAATAAAAGATAAGAAAAATAGACCTCACTTTGTCTGTTTGTCTTTCCAACGGACAAGTCAGGTTAAAATATATAAATTATTATATTAATAAAGTATTAAAAAACTTGAATTACACTTAAAATTGCACCGAGTAATGCTAATAGTAATAATAATGATGATAAAAAGAAACATTTTTTGACCATAGATTACTCGATCCATACTCCGTGTGACAGGTTAGACGAGGTTCGGAGCGGGAAGATGCGTCCTTTCGCCCCTATACACTGTACAGTCAGCGGCGATTTACGCAACGTGTAATCGCACCTTTATGCCGGTTACACACTGAGCGGTTTTTGCCGTGGCGGCAAATTTGCTGTCGCATTCATTCTGGTTTGAAGCTTTCACGCTGAGCGGCATAAATGCCTAGAGGCTGTTTTGTCGTGCCCCTGCTCACTGCCAGCCCGACGATTTTCTTTTGCCGTTTCTGGGCACACAGTGGCGTGCAAGGTCAATTGCGCGTTTATAGATTGATTGATGTGGTGTCATCGAGATAACGCAAATAAATGTAAATAAATAATTTATAATTATAATAACACAGCAATAACTAAACAATCCAATATAAGAAATTCGAAACCAATCAGAAAGTTTTTAAAAATGCAACAATTTCGCCGTCGATCAGCGTTAATTGCCGCCGTGGAAAAACTGCTCTTCTGTGTGACCTGCATTATTACGACGTCTATTTAAAATTGCTAATCGATTAGGGAATTTTTGCCAATCGAAGAAATAGCAACTGTTAGAAGTGTTTATATCAACATATTTTATTTTTTGTTATAGCAAGAGATGCAAAAAGGTAGACAGAAAAAAAAAGTTAACCGAATTCAGAGGTCATGTATTGATGTCGCATACATAAACGACACTAACATATCGCAAAAAACCGATTATTGGAAAATCTAAAGTTCTAAATTCTACCTACCACCTACCTAACTGAAAGAAAAAAAAACAACTTATCGATACGTACATATTTTTGATGTTTCAGATCACTTCCAGACTACTTTATTTTATTGGCAAAAACTTACTTTGCTCAACAGTTTCGACTATTCAACTTTGTTTTCGACTGACGCATTTTAGTTTCATAAATCAGCGTTGGTACGTCTTGATTTAGAAATCTTTTTAGAAAATGCAGGGTAGGTATTTATACAAAGAGTAACTTATTGTTAGATTCTATTTTTCTTGTTGTGCCCCTTCCTTGCCCTATGAGGCAACCTCATGGGGCCCACAAGAGGTGTATGGCTGGCCTCGTACGGACCCTGCCTGCACCCTCCTCAGTTGGGTGGTTAATAGTAACTAGGTACAAGTATTTTATCTGACAAACGAACAGAAATTTAATATTGTAAACTTATGTTTATGAATTCATGGTACATAAATACACATAATCAATTAATCCCCAACTTAATTTTACAAGTCATTTAATGTTTTCAACTATATTTTATAAAAGTATACTTTTAACCTCATTTACCGCTGTAAATGCAAATTTCAAATCTACTAAATTACATTCACCTGTTCGGAATATTTCCACAATATAAAAAGAATTGCCCACATGTTAAGCGACGGTTAGCTAAACAGCATTCATAATATAAAAACCATGCAAGACAATATTGAAAGTAGCTAATCATTAGCCATAAATAGTGTTGGCAAAGAAGCCTTCTGCTTCGTGTTTACCTTGAACTTTACTAGATCCGCAATATACCTACGGCTATTTGTTACATACATGTCTCATTACGCAACTTATATTATCGAATCATCTGAAACTAAAAGATGATGTGCATATTGTTTATATAAATGAGGACACTTGGTATCGAACATCGTCATCATCGGCAAAACAATAATATCTTTTCCTGGAGTATCAACACGACGGTAACGTGAGAATAAATGGAAAGGAGTAAAGTAACACTGATGAATTACATATTATTTTTATTACAAGATGGATGGTTTTGATATCCAGCACTTTATACAAGCTACACATTAAAATCCTTTATAGCAAAAAATATACATTCTAATTACGTACATGTAGAAAAGTTTGTAAATCTGTCACCCACATCCTCTAAAACTTCCGTATCACGGCTTTTTCAAAAATGTAACTTTTTGTGGTTAGAAATGGCTGAAAGTGACCCAATCATAAAAAACCTACATGACATAATCGGAAAAAGGTGGTTTTAGAAGTTTTTATTGAAAATAAATACTTTTAGATTACACTTAACAGTACATTTTGGTAGTTGCCGTTTACGGTTAAACTCCTGTAACATTACTTTTCGTTGGAAAAAGTCTATCTATAAGAAACTCAGAAGAAAAAACGTAGGTAAAATGTTTTAAACAAGTTTATTTATAAATAAATAATTTATAGTTATACAACTTACGCAAGATTCACAGTCACTTATGATAAATAACAGTCACTACTCAGCCCTTCCTGACTTCGCCTCTACAGTTCAAGTTGCATTCGGTTAAAAAGTGATATCCACCTTACAGTCGTTTATAGTATATAAATGTATACATGCAAATTGTTCCAATTCAAGGAAGGTACAGGTATAATATATGTATATAAAAGGAAGGGGGGCACCGTTGCATACCTTATCTTAACCTAAATTATGTTAGTTTATATTAGTTACGTTAAGTTGAGTAGATAAATGGGAAGAAGTTCATCATCACAATGTTGTCAGTCCTAAGTCTGGTTGGACACGCACCTCCACTATTACCTATCCTGAGCTAATCTTCGCATTTCTCTAAAACTAGAACAACCCATATCCTTAACTATTTGCAAACAGTAATTTAATCTAGGTCTGCCTCTACCCCTCCTAACTTCCCTTTGTGTCTTTAATATTTCTCTGACTAGACCTTCATGCCTGAGAAGGTGTCCTTCCAACCTATCTCGCCTATTTCTTACTAACTTCCATAGAGTCGTTTGTACTCTTACTCTTTCTAATACCTCTTCATTTCTAACCTTCTCTATCCACGGTATCCTCATCATTCGCCTATAACACCACATTTCGAAGGCTTTACCCGTACAACGCCGCGCTCCAAACATACACCTTTAACAACCTTTTTCGAATTTATAAATTAACCGTTCGCGAGCATAGAAGTGACTTGTATATATGTATTTAAATTGAGTAAACGACTGTGGAGCAGATATCACTTTTTAAACGAATGCAACTTAAACTGTAGAAGCGAAGTCGGCATGACTGTTATCTATGATAAGTAACTGAAATACTCATATACCTTTAAAATATTTATTCCCTTGTTTTTTCATCGGATTTCCTTATAAATGGACCTTTTCCAACTAAAAGCAGCAGTACTACAGGAGTTTAACCGTTAATGGCAACTGCTAAAATGAACTTTTGACTGTGAAGTGAAATCTAAAAATGATCATTTTCAATAAAAAGTACTCAAAGCACCTTCCCCCTATTATTTCATGTAAATTTTTCATTATTAGGTCATTTTAAGCCATTTCCAACCAGAAAAAGCCGTGATATGAAAGTTTTATCAAATAAAACGATACCATTTTGTATCAATGTATTTTAAAGTTTCTTCCACAATTAATAAAAGATTTTACATTTTATTTTATCTCGGAGGTAAGATACAAAATTCAAATATTAAGTACATCATAATAACTGCTTATAAAATTTTGATATTTTAAAAAATTTAAGACGGTTCAAGTGGCGCAAAGTTCATAGCTTCGAATATTATATCTACTAATTTGTATTAAGGATATTACTACTTATATATTTTTTATTTATGTGCGAAAAATACCTTCACAAAATTTTGTTGCTTCAATTCCAGGGGTACATTCGTCTTAAACTTTCTAGCAGGCCAATGCCTCGCCGACTCTGTATCATTAATTCTTGCTGAACCTGCAAATACCTTTGTAGAATCTACAGGGACACATTTCACAGGAAAAATAAAAATCATATTGAATTTTAAGTTTTCATTGGGACGGAAATAAATTAATTTAATAGGTACTTGACGTTTTAGTTTTCATTTTTGACGTAAATTCATTAATTGTTATCGCAGGTTATAACGAATTACTTTTTGAAGATTATTTTTCCCAACTATGTAGGTACACAATCATTGCTTAAAATCAGATTCCTCATGTTTTTGCTTAGATAATATATACAGGTAGGTACAAATGGGACTGTAATGTAGAGAAGTAAATAGTAGGAAGGGAGTCAGACCGGGATGTACACTGTCATCGCTACTTTTTAATCAATACATCGAAGACGCGATCAGCATCATTAAAGTACAACTGTACAAAGATTAGTATGTTTAGATTTGCAGATGATATAGAAGTATTAGCATGTAGCAAGGAGGAGTTGGAGGTAGATTTAAATAAAATGGAAGCGTTATTGACAAAACAGTTTTGTACGAAAATAAAAGTAAAACAAATATAGTGGTATGCAAGGGAAGAAAAAGTAGGAAAAGAGCGAATATAAAGATAGGAGACGAAAAATTAGAAGAAGTGGCCGATTTTAGGTATTTAGGAAGTCATATAAATTAGGACAGACGGACTAGTAGGTTTATAAAGCAGAGGATAGCACAGAGTTAAGCCGCCTTTAATAAACAGAAGTCACTTCTATGCTTGCAAACGATTAATTTAGAAATTCGAAAAAGATTGTTATAGGTGTATGTTTGGAGCGCGGCGCTGTACGGGTGCGAAACATGGACGGGTCAAAAGGCCAGAAGCGTTCGAAATATGGTGTTACAGACGAATGAAGAGGATATTGTGGATAGAGAAGGTAAGGTTAGGTTAGGATGAAGGTTATAAATGAATAGGTATTAGGAAACAATAGGACAACAGAAGATTCTATGGAAGTCAATAGAAAATAGGTGAGATAGGTTAGTAGAACACCTTCTCAGGCATGAAGAGCTAGTCAGAGACATATTAGAGGCGGTAGGAGGGGTAGAAGTAGACCTAGATTAGATTACTGTTCGCAAATAGTTAGGGATGTGGGTTGTTCTAGTTTTAGGAAAATGCGAAGATTAGCTCAGGATAGGAAAGAGTGGAGGTGTGTTTCCAACCAGTATTGGGGCTGACGACCTTATAATGCTGATGGGGTACACGAATGCGTCTTAATCTGTGTCTTACTATACACATACATTTAAAATTCAGTCATTAAAAAGTTAAGATCGAGGACGGTTTCTATAAATTTTTTACAATGTTCCCTCCGATTTAAATTTAAATCTTGAACGCTTTATTAACAACAAGTACTACCATCCGTTGACTTCACAGATTAATTTGTTAATTAAACCCTCACTTTCCATAATTCACCAATTCAAACAGCTACTGGTACATTTTAGGACTGGATTTTATCACTTTAAGTTTGTTTTTACAGGAAGAATTTCAGAACAATTCCTTTTTGTAATTGGTAAAATATTGACGGGAATACAAAGCAGACTGTAGTTTATCGTTGAATAGAATACTTTTATTTATTTTTTACTTATCATGTAATGAACCTTCACATCTCAGTTGTTGTAAAACTCATTTCGAATCATCATCGGTAGGAAACTAGGTCATCCGAACTATAGGTATTCAATAATCTATTTGAAATTCAATTAAACTCTCATAAAAGGACGCACTTTTATGACACTTTCATTGCAAGATAAATGTTAAAGCTTACATTATGAGACATATATATATATAAATACACATGTATATTTATTACGAAGAGAAGGTGTTAATGGAATTAGAAAATTTCTTGTTGGTGAACGCAATATAAAGCCGCATTTAATAACGGATTACCGAATAATATATAACAGAAAGGTGACCGAACTTCATTTTCAATTTTATTTCACCGATAAATAAAATTTATTGTATGTAAGTACAAAAAATATTAAATGCTGAGTGAATTTTCCATTGTAACTCTACGTTTAAGTGTTGAAAAACTGCTAGTTACCTAAATATGTACGCACTTGAGACACATTCAAAACTTTCTATTAAGTAAATGTTTTCTTGGTTTTCACTTTTATGTAATTTTTCTTCTTCTTAACTCTTTGACGAAAAGTCTCGCCTTTCTTCTACGTAAAACATTCTATCTAACAGTCTATAATATTTAGTTTTAGTTTTTCTATTTTTAGTTGTTCTAATGTACCTAGTGAGTAAATGTTGTTCCATTATTTCTGAAAACTATAGTGACAAATAAAATTTCACACTTTCCTCCCACTAGTTTACTGCAAAAGATGATTTAAGTAGGTAGAGGTAATTCAAAATCTCGTGGGTCAAAATCTTGAGTTCAATGACAAAGCTCCTGCTGTTTGAGACCCTTTTAAAATTTTGTAGAGTTATAATTAATATATGCTGTGTCAATGTTTTGCTGCTGTTACCTTCTTGTAACTTAGTGGCAGATACAGGTGCGTAAAACCAGGGGCCCGGTTCGATTTCCGATAAGGGAGTGATAGCAGAAAAAATCTTTCTTGATACAATACAATACAACAAAATATCTAAACTCTATTCAATTTCAACATAAGCCAAACCAAAATAAACGTAAACCGGTGATCGCCTGGTTAACGAAGTCCTTACTGGTCAAACTACAGATGCTCACAAAACAAATAAAAAATAGAAGTATTGTAACGACCGAGCAAGTTTAGAAGAAATTATGAACGTATGTATGTAACTTGTTATGGTGGCCGAATGTCCTTTTTTGTTAAACGTGGTGGTAGACTAGACACTTCCTTCATATAATAAATATTTTCATACTTTTTACATAAATACGGAAAGCAGCTTTTTAATTAAGTCTATACAAGCTTAATCATGCATTTTATTTTTCATTAACCGTTATCATCATCATCATAGTTATCATGTTTCTACTACCAATATGTCTCTAACCGCCTCTTAATGCACGGTCGCATGTGACCCTTCTTGGACATATATCAAGTCCGCGAGATTTTCGGTATCTAGGAGATCAGATAATTAAGGATGGAAGCAGCAGTGGAGATATAAAGTGAAGAATAGCGCACGATTGAGCAAAAGAAAAAAGAACAGGTCAAAAGCGTTCTAAATGTGGTGTTAGAGACGAATGATGAGGATACCGTGAATAGAGAGGGTTAGAAATGAAGAGGGATTAAAAAGAATAGGAGGACAGAGGGCTGTATGGAAGTCAATGAGAAATAGACGAGATAGGTTGGTAAGATACTTCTCATGCATGAAGGGCTAGTTAGAAAGCCAGAAATAGGAGTTTAGAGGGGTTAAAAGGAGTATATGGGACGTTCTAGGTTTAGGGAAATACGAAGATTAGGTTGGCTTAGGAAAGAGTAGAGGTGCGGATCTAACTGGTCATAGGATTGATAACCCTATAATAACGATAATGATTATAATGATCAAAGTAGTGAAAACTAATATTCTTAAGAATATATGACAAATATTGCCTATTTTATTAATGAATTTATAGTTAAAGTGAGTTCAAAAAAATGTCTATCAATGTATCCCGCAAGATCATTTGAGTTGGCCGCTCCAGCTATGCCCTAAAAATCTATTTCGCTTATTACCCATTGACTTCCATAACGCCCTTTGGTTTTCTACTCCTTCTAATACTTCCTCATTTTTAACCATTTCTATCCACGTGATTTTTGACATTCTCAACACCATTTTTCAAACACCTAAGCACAAAAGTGATTTCTTTTTGTTAAAAACGATCGTATCTTGCGCTGGTTTTTGGTTTTATATCTCCTTATTAAGATCATTAATAGTTTTATACAGTTAAAATGAGAATATACCTACGTACAGTATGACATTTAGATACCACCCACATAACTTTCTTTTCTATTCGTAAAAATCCTTTAAATCGACGCTTTCTTTTAAACACAAGTTGTGAAAGTCATAAATTCTCCGAAGCAATCCCAATGATTAATTATAAGATTTAATTAGGCTTATGTACGCTCGATCACGTTAATCATGTAAACAACGGACTGGAATGAATTCGGATAGCAATAGGGTCACACCCAAAAACCTACGATGAAATGGAACGTGTGTTGGAAAGCAAAATTTGAATTTCAAATTAAATAGGTGATGTTTTGGTCGTGAGCCTCGATAAGATATGGGAGATTTATATGCAAAATGGACAGACGCGATAGCAAAAAAAAACATTAAATGATAAAATATCTACAAAGAAAATGCAAATTCTTTACTTTGCCCTAAAACCAAATGAAAGGCAAAGGGTCAGTGGATGCTTTAGAATTTATCTCTGAATAAATCATTCTACCTTTCCTTATCAAAGGCATTACAAGTGAAAAATATACTTTATTAGTAGGTATTGAATAAAACCTAACTCTAACACTTAAATTAGAAAGTATGAAACCACTTTAAATTAAAATTAAATTAATTTGCTTTGGGTAGGTAAATAAAATTATTAAGGATTCAGCCCTCAATAAGACCGACGTTTGAAATGATGACGTCAGCAATAATCTTAAAAAAAATATTTTCGAGTTTAAATGCCTACATCAAATTACCTCGGTGAATGAATTACGAGGGTGGATTGATAAGTTTCCGGCCTAACCAAGAGATGACGCCACTAGGCCTACCTTGAGGTGACATTCTATAGTACCATCCTTGGATAGCTTGTAGCTATAGTTTCAGCCCGATCTCCTTGCTAGTGTAGGTTTGACAGCACGCTGAACAAGACGCCTCTGTGGTTTTCGTAAAAATGGAAAAGCAGGAAAATCGTGCTGTCATCAAATACTTTTATTTGAAGGGGTTAACGCCGAAGGAAATTAAAAAAGAGATGGACTCAACACTGGGGACATCCTCCCCGTCATATTCAACCGTTAAGCAGTGGGTTTCCGAGTTTAAAAAGGGTCGTGTGAGCACCTCTGATGGGCCTCGCTCAGGACGCCCCGTTGAGGTCACAACTCCAGATATGATCGAAAAAATTCATCAAATAGTGCTGGGAGACCGCAGATTGAAAGTGCGTGAGATAGCTGAGACCTGTAAGATGTCATATGAACGTGTGCAACATATTTTGCACCAACATTTGCAT